CTTTCATTTGTCTTACGAAAGACTTTACTATCTTAGCTAGAATTAAGTTCCCTACCGCGTTAAAGTCTATATTATTGTGTTATTCAGGGAAATTCCTATTCATGAAAACCCACCCATGAATAACACCTAACAAAAAAAAAAATTTTTTTGTGAATTTTTCGATTTACTTAGGGTAGCAGCACCTGCTTCGTAAGGCATCATAATGTAGATACATATATGTATAAATATGTAAACACATAGACGAGTATATAAGTAGGTGAAAATTAATGCAATATTGTCATTTAAAGAGGTTTGCGCCAAGCTTTCAGCTTTGTTAAACCCGAACTGGTTGTAGCACGAAGAGATGTGTGTATTGTGTAGTAGAAAGGGGAAGTTGCCATTGGTAATGCTGCTTACATTGTGGCTCATACAAATAAGTATGTATGAAGGTATAAGAAATTTAGATCCAGTTGTTGCCGTTATTACGGCTCATCATGGCTGATGCTTATGGTTTTAATGTTCGCTGTTTGTTATACAAAATTAATAACTGAGATGATTTATTTGCATGCTTAAAATTGCGTATATACATACTTTTTCCTGAAAGATGGATGAACAAATCCGAGTTGATGAGTCTTTAAGTACCCTACGGTTGAATTTTAAGAGTTCCTTGAATTATTGAGCAATGTTACCGCGCCAGTGCTTCGTTTCTATTAGCATTTAAAGCAGGGATGTCTGTGAAGAACTCGCTGACGAGCTGGAGTTGTCAAACAGTTTAAAGATGTTTTCTATAAAATTCAGATAATTGGAGCTATGGCACAGGCATCACAGATTTAAAGTGTTTGGTGGGAAATAAGCATTCAGAACTAATTTAAACTATTTAGTTGGAAAGTATAGAACGTATTTTGTAGCATATTTGTCTCTTCTAAGATCTAGCCACTCAGCTGAGTTTGTCTACATAGATGAGACAACGTCAACGCTCAAAGGGTTTCACACGATGTTGGTAGGGCCTTTTTTATTTTTCGTTATTTTGCCCAAATATGGCTCCAGCAAAAAAAAAACTAGGTCTGATACAGCCGCTTTCAGGATGGACAATCTCTATGAACAATTAGAGAGTACACTCTTTGGTTTAGATCTTCTGCTGTCAATTCCTTTTGGAATAACGCGTCTTCAAGCCTTCACCCACTTTTCTCTAATAAATAATGTGTATGCAGAAAGTGTATAGTACTCAACTCAGCAATGAGATAGATGATTTTTTGGAAGACTTTAGCAACTGCAACAGCTGGTGTTTCTTACTTCTACGTCTATATGTTTTTCAGCTAGATGAAGATAGGCAAATGTTCTTGAAGTTTACGTGGAAAAGTCGCGAAGGGTTATTAATGGAGGGATAGGAGAATGGAAGAAGGAAAACACCACAAATTTTAAGAGAAAATATATGTATAATCTATTTATGGATAACTTGGAGACCTGTTGTGACAATATATAGAGCCAATTGAAGACTACGTCCAACCACTGCTGAAAATCCGAATGACAAACATGTAAATTTCTACTCAATAAAAAATTCATATAGATTGCCACTGAAAGATGGAGAAAAATCTCTGGCTGCCATAGACGCCCAACGTACCAAGTCTCTACTTAATCCAAAGAGGCAGGACATTCGCATAGTGNGAGATTGCCACTGAAAGATGCAGAATGGAATCGACCTGTCGTATGCTAAAAATCTCTGGCTGCCATAGATGCCGAACGTACCAAGTCTCTACTTAATCCAAAGAGGCAGGACATTCGCATAGTGACTGGAGTTCTCACCGTACACTGCCTGATTAGATTACATGTAGCTAGAGTGGACACACCCTGGAATGACTACTGCAAATGCTGCATGGATGTAGACGAAGAAGAAACCATCCAAAATCTTCTCTGTCATTGCTTGGTTCTGTCAAAGCGGAGAGCAAAAGCTCTTGGCAGTAATTTATTCAACAATCTCGATGANATGAAGATTAGGAGAATGGAAGAAGGAAAACACTACAAATTTTAAGAGAAAATATATGTATAATCTATTTATGGATAACTTGGAGACCTGTTGTGACAATATATAGAGCCAATTGAAGACTACGTCCAACCACTGCTGAAAATCCGAATGACAAACATGTAAATTTCTACTCAATAAAAAATTCATAGAGATTGCCACTGAAAGATGCAGAATGGAATCGACCTGTCGTATGCTAAAAATCTCTGGCTGCCATAGATGCCGAACGTACCAAGTCTCTACTTAATCCAAAGAGGCAGGACATTCGCATAGTGACTGGAGTTCTCACCGTACACTGCCTGATTAGATTACATGTAGCTAGAGTGGACATACCCTGGAATGACTACTGCAAATGCTGCATTAATGTAGACGAAGAAGAAACCATCCAAAATCTTCTCTGTCATTGCTTGGTTCTGTCAAAGCGGAGAGCAAAAGCTCTTGGCAGTAATTTATTCAACAATCTCGATGACGTCAAAGTAATGAACATTAGAAACCTATGCAGTTTTCTGCTAAGCATAACATGGTTCACAGGCGAACGGGGATAAATGAAAACCTCATGCGGTATCGCAATGGAACCTGGGTACACTCAGGACTGTCGCCCAACCTCATCTAACCTGTATTGAGAACTGGAGTGTAACATTGTGAACTTTTGTTGAAGAAATTGGAAGATGGAATGATTTTACGGGGTCAGATGCCACCTTATACCTCAATCTTAATGTAAAAGATGTGAATATTGAGTAAAAATGCTACACCGCACGTAGAGATAAAAAGTAAAATATGCCATTAAGAAAAAATATATGGCAAAATGACTTAAACTATCCTTTCTACGGACAAGGTTAAACCAATATTCTGAATATTGTTAATTTCCAAAAATGCGAAAAACGAACTTCCGGTAAGAAACTAACTGATGATAAGCCGAAAGACAAATGAGTATATTTAGGGCGAAATAAATATTGCAAAACATCTGAGGGAAATATTAAAAGGGAACATATGGAAAAGAAAAGTTTCACCTCTATGTCTTCATTCCGTGAACATTTTAGTAATTTGTCTTATATTTTCTTTAAAACTGTAATAAAATCAGAAAATTATAGAAGCTCTTACAAAAGACTTATTTTCACTTTACTAAAATTCGGTAATTTTATTCATGTATCCGTGCATTTTTAGCATATTTTAGTTTAAGCTTTGATCTTAAGTAGAATATATTTTTTAATGTTTTGTAACTTTACAGAACTTAAATATATCTTATGAGTTTTATATGTCAACATAAACACGTTTTATATTTCTTTGCAAAAAAAAAAAAACACAAGTCAAACTTTAAAATTTGAAAGTAAAAATAACTTGCATTTCTTGAAAATTCTTAAATACTTGCTTCTTCTTTAAACCTGCAAACTAATTACGCATTGGCCCTCATACTCTTATCGCCCCCCCTTTCACAAACATACGTGCCGTTTAAAGTTCGCATGCTGTCAGTCTCTCTTTAAGCAGTTAACTTTATTTACAATGTTCTTTAGAGAATAACTCAATTTGCCAGTTTCTTTTACTACATTTAACCGGAAGTTGTCGCTGATGGCAAAACAATGTAATATTCTTTTCAAGTTTTTTTTTAACATTTACTTTAACTTAATTAAAATTTTGTATTCCTTTTTTCTCTATAAGGACATGGCTGTTATTAGTTTATGCCGCCAGTTATAGTTGTTTTTGTTATAGTGTACTCTGTAATTTTATGCATTTGCCGCCTGAGAGCTCAGATGAATTTCACAACGCAATCGTTTTGCATTTTTATTAAAGTTATATCACCTCGCTGCTGTTGTTGTCTTTGCTTTTGACTTTCGTTTTGCTTTTCATTACATTTCTTTTGATTTATTTGCAAGTCTCAATTAGCTCTAGCTCTGCATTTGTACTCAGACTCGTCGCATGCTGAGCCTCTTATACAATTCAATCAATGTACCTACTAGTATTTCCTATCCCTTCGCTGTGTTCTCTCCAATTGGTTGCTTTTTTTTTTTTGTTTCCGACTTTTGTTACGCTGGCATTTAATTGAAACCGTGACTTTGCCGCAGGTTTTGCTTGCACTACAATTAATCCGCAACGAAGCTGATGCTCTGCACCGCCNAACATTTACTTTAACTTAATTAAAATTTTGTATTCCTTTTTTCTCTATAAGGACATGACTGTTATTAGTTTATGCCGCCAGTTATAGTTGTTTTTGTTATAGTGTACTCTGGGTTTGTCTCTAATTTTATGCATTTGCCACCTGAGAGCTCAGATGAATTTCACAACGCAATCGTTTTGCATTTTTATTAAAGTTATATCACCTCGCTGCAGTTGTGGTCTTTGCTTTTGACTTTCGTTTTGCTTTTCATTACATTTGTTTTGATTTATTTGCAAGTCTCAATTAGCTCTAGCTCTGCATTTGTACTCAGACTCGTCGCATGCTGAGCCTCTTATCCAATTCAATCAATGTACCTACTAGTATTTCCTATCCCTTCGCTGTGTTCTCTCCAATTGGTTGCTTTTTTTTTTGTTTTCGACTTTTGTTACGCTGGCATTTAATTGAAACCGTGACTTTGCCGCAGGCTTTGCTTGCACTACAATTAATCCGCAACGAAGCTGATGCTCTGCACCGCCAAACAGATCGGCTCATCCTTTTTGCGCATTAACGTGACTTTCGCGCGTGTCCTGCTGGGCCGCCTCGTAAGGCAACTTATTGGTCGCGCCGCTTTTGCTTTGTTGTTATACGATTTGCAATTATGTCCGCTTCCATTGCCGCTGTTCAGCCGCTCTACACGTGCGCACGTCATTTGATGTACAGATTTTACACTGTTTTTTGAATCGTTGGTCTTCATTAATCGCTGCCACGACGCGTTAAGCCCTGCATGTCGCTTCAACGCCACCACTTCCTTCTGTTGCANTTCAGCCGCTCTACACGTGCGCACGTCATTTGATGTACAGATTTTACACTGTTTTTTGAATCGTTGGTCTTCATTAATCGCTGCCACGCCGCGTTAAGCCCTGCATGTCGCTTCAACGCCACCACTTCCTTCTGTTGCATGTCACGTTTTCCAGCTCCACCAGGTCTATACAAAAATAATGTCTGCACGATCTGATTTCGTCGTGGGCGGTTGTCTTTGGAAGGCGTAGACATTAACAAGTAATTGTGCCATGAAAATCAGGCAAAATAAAACGATTAAAAGAATGTAGAGCAAGATATCGCGCACCATGCCGACGCGTCGACCCAATTCGCTACTCGCAGTGCGTGCGTCAGTTAGTGTAGCGGAAGTCTAAGCGTGTTCTGTGTCGCGTGTGTTTATATCATCCCACCTGCTTGACGTAAACTTCTGCAAAATCACTTTTCTAAGCGGTGAGAAATCGAGAAAATCCCAGCGCCGCTTTTTATGTGGAGCAAAGCGTTGCTGCCTTTTCGAGTGGCAAATACGTAACGGATAATCGCGCTGCTGCGAAATTGTGGTTGTCTCCGCCGCCGGCGCCGCTACAATTGCTTAAATCTCTCTCTCGCTTTCACCCCAGTCGATTGCTAGTGGCAACACTTGCTATCGTTATTTCCGCTGCCGCCGCCGCCGCCGTCGCTTTGGAATTAGTTCAACACTTCCTGCGTCGTCTCAGCGCAAGACGTTGCTAACCTCGCACACTTGCAATTGCAGTTTGTCGCTTTATATGAACTTATTGGAACAGGCAAAATGTATAAATCGGGTCGTCTTACCTTTAAGTGTGACATCTTATGTGGTTGTTGCTTTCGAGTGCCACAATTTCAGTCACTTCAATTGCTATTTAACCTAACTCAACATCGACTGCTCAGTTGGCGGCTTCCGCCTGTCGCAATTTCTTACTCAGTGGAATTTTCCTTAGTCCTAGAAACTTTTGTCTCAGCTGGCGACAGCAACGTCAACTTCGTCTCTGCCACTTCTATGGTTTGAGTAAGGGTGTTTGCTCCATTTTTTGTTTGTTTTCTACCTACTAAGCACTTTCGCTACTGCGAATCCAAGGCGGTGTGGTTAATGTGGTTGAGCTGCAAGTAGAAAGCACAAAAAGAATTTCATGAAACATAAGTATTTTTTTCCAAGCAAACAAATGGGAAAAATTTCAATTGCAATAGTATAAAAATGCTGAAAAAATGTCAGAGTTCGTAAGAAGGTAGTAAAAATGGAACCTACAAAAGCGTCATTAAGGTAAACACCAACTGTGCGTGCATATCAAGAAACATGTCAACAAACATGTAGCAGCTAAAGAAAAATTTAAATAAAAGTAAATTACAATGTCCCTACGTTGTGCTGAATGGTTATGCAAATGTATGCGCGTTGTTATTGTGTATGCACCAACAAAAGCAATGTTTTAAAATTGTTGAATTTACATGCAACTATGCTTGCAATATGCACAGCTATTGTAAGTACTGCTCCCGAATAAAGCGGCAGCAATATGCACTTCAAGGCACTTCATGTGGCAGCGAAACAACAGAAGCCGGTAACTTGTGTGAACACGCTTAGTTATTTATGTAGGTATGTACATAAGTACAGTCACAGAGATATATATACACACGTACTTAGGGCGATCCAAAAAAGCGTGCGAAAAACTGAATTCGGAATTTTTATGCCTTCACCCCCTAGGATTGTTCTATACCAAACACAATGTACCCATATTTTTTATTTCGAAATCAAAAAATATTTAGAGGTCGCTCAAAGCGCTCAAAGTTTTCCATCTATTTTATATGGCAAAAACAACTTTTGGTAGAAATGGTATAGAATTCTTGAAAATAATTTTTTTTCGATTACAAAAGCCCGTTTCTCTTCAGGAAAATCGCAGTAATAATACCCAATTGTTTATGTAACCAACTCTTCATAATAAATATATTTTATAGGTTCTCTTAAACCCCAAACAAAGAAATGGAGTTGCTGTTGTTTTTTCCCATATAAATACATGGAAAACTTTGAGCGCTATAAGCGACTTCTAAATACATTTTAATTTCAAAATAAAAAATTGGCCATATTTTTTTTTTCAATATGGACCAATTCTAGGTGGTAAAAGCATTAAAATTCCGACTTTACTTATTTTTTGACCACCCTAATGTGCATACGTAAATACACTTCTTTCATTTGCAACATGAAGTGGTGTGGCATGAGTGCTGTTGCAAGCTACACCCGTATTACATATGTATGTATGTATGTATGTAGAACCTTAGCAACATGTAAATTTGAATCCACGTAGAAATACAGTGGTGAACAAGAAAATGGAGTGAGCTGAGTCATTTACTTCTTCTTATTTGTTTTTGTCATTAAAAAAAAAATAACTTTCTCGCAAGCATCCAAATCCTTCAAATCTTTGTTTAACATTACCCAGGGTGTCTGCTCCTAAAAAAGGCATGATGACAGATTTGTAGAGCGTAATTTTGGTCCTTTGGAAATGAGCTCTGCTTTTCAGCTGCCTGCTAATTCCATAGAAGCAACTGCAGGCAACAAATGTTGTTCGCTCGAACTCGACGCTAGCATTATAGTTGGTATTTATAGCGGATTCTAGTTAGACTTGATCATACATTATCTACTTTGCCATCATAGTTACCAGCCGAACAATAGCACAGCCAAATATAGTCTTTGGAAAAAAATATAAGCAGTTGGCGTAGGTCTGCAAAATATCCGCACACAACGCCTATGGATATAAGTCAAGAAAATAACGAAAAATGGGCGTGATAAATTTATTTTAAAGCTACCTCATACCCTCAAAAGTTGTTAAAAATTTCATAAAAAGTGCACCGAAGAATACATGACTCCGATAAAAACCGTAGATTGGCACAGCTGGAAGTGTCAATTACAGTTTTACACCCAAACTCATCAAAAATGGAGAAAACTTTAACTGCTTTATACATTGAAAATTTAAATTTATTTATATCTTTATGAATAAGGCCATCCCTGCAAACCAAAGTTCCCGAAATCTTAACGAAATCTTTAGGAGTATCTGATTTCTGTAACGATTTTTTTCCGAACCTTCAAAGAAAATTATATGAAGTGGTTGACACGTACTCGTAAAGAAATTTCTGTACGAAAAATAAAGAAAATTCTGAAAAAAGTCTGCAAGAAATTCTTCACATAACAGCATTATTTTCATTTCTTTACCGATTTGCTTCCGAAATTTCGTAAAAGAATGGAAGTGTGCGTAATTTATTTCATTTTAGAAAATTCGGCAAAATATCGGATGGGATCTTTCCGAATTCTTTAAAAATTCTTTACGATTCAGAATACTCTGATAAAATGGTTTGCATTTAGTTTAGTCTTAAGAGTAACAGAAAATGTTTAAATATACCCTGCAAACCATTTTTTCAGAGTATTCTGAATCGTAAAGAAATTTTAACGAATTCGGAAAGATACCATCCGATTTTTTTCGTTAAGATTTCGGGAACTTTGGTTTGCAGGGTATGTATGTGTATTAGGGCGTGTCAATTTGTATGGGAGATTTTTTCGACTGTGCGCGTATAGCACAGGACCGTACGCGTAAACTTAAGCAAATTTTTAGAAAAAACCAAAGGTCTTGAAGTATGCTAATTGCGAAAATAGGTTTCTTATCATATTGCTGTAGTGTGGTAAATAAGTGCTTGAATTTTGTATAAAATCATTCTATAAGGGGTTTTTGGAATTAGGAGTCCTTTTCTACACAAGTTTTTTTTTTCTAAGTTCTACCAGAGGGTGGAACAGTGAAACTTTTCACATTTTCTTCGAGACCTATAGTGTTAGTGTTTGGTCGAGCTTTTTTCAGATCTTTTGCGAGCGCCTTGATGTCCTCACACAAACGGGAGGTACCCAGTTGGTGAAGCTTTCAAATTGTTGTAGCTACATATATCGTCGTTTAAAGTACAAAACCGCGTATCGTCATTCTGCAAAGCCGCGTAATTCACATTTGCAGCCAAAAATTGGATTTGCTCACACAAGCTCTGGTCTCAATCCTTATCCCTTTGTCCTGGAGTATACTAGCCAAAAATCCGATTGCTTTATAAAAAAGAGAACCATTTTGAATTATCAGTGTTTTAATCTCTAGAAAATAATTTATGCAACTTGATACGCGGTTTTGTACTTCAAACGACGTTATGAATGTGTTCTCGGAAGCATTTTGGAGATTCATGACGCTCCAGTAAACAGGATATACAAATATTCAAACAAAAACGAATTTTACAATTAATCTTTTGAATAAAATTTGTGTGGTATCTTTGCAGCCGAATTCGTGAGAAAAGCTACTCTTCACTATGTTCAGTGTAAATACCAGCAGTTTCGCTTTGTTCCACCTTGCTTTGCTTGTAATTAAAATAGAAAATCAGAAGGCCAATAAAAAAGTGAACCGTGACGTGTGCGGCCGTGGTGTTTATAGGCCGACGAGAAACGAAATAGTAAATTTCTTAGTAAATATTTGTTAAAATACGAGTACAAACAAACGACTGCTGTCACAACTCCCACAAAAGTATAAATTTTAGCTGTGTATGACAAGCTGACAACGTTGATGCAATAGTGTAGTTACAGTCAACGCCTTTGCATTATCGTCAGTTGTGCCAACGGCAGAAGTACCGGCATACTTGTAAGCATATATGTATATGTATATGTTTTTATGACTCAAAAGTGTAGGTGGTGTAGGCCAAATGAGCACATTTCTAAATTTAGAGCAAACTTGTTTCAGTAAGTGGGTGCAGTGGGGAGATATTTAGTTAGATTGTGGAGTCTGCATTGCCACAAGGACTGTCAATAAGCCGGTGCTGTTTACCAACAGCACACAAGGAAGCTACCTGTAGTACCTAACAGAGCACGTAGTTAGTGTTAGTGTTTAGGCATGACCAGGCATGACCATAAGTATGACTATCAGTGCTACTGTGCGCATGTATGTATATAAAGATACATTCGTTTGGAAAAGAATTTCATAGAATTTAAACTTTTTATACGTTGCTGTTTTATTGATTTTAAATGCAGTGAATCCACTATATTAAGAGTCCTGCATATATTTCTTACCAAGTTACGAAGATTTTTTCTCCGATTTCTTGTTCCTTCTTTCTCTTCAAATGATTTCAATTGCATATTCGAAGACACATACGCACGCAGATACTTAATAAAATGCAGGTAGTCAAGTGGAACTGCAGTGCATTTTATTTAATTATCCTCGCAGCAACATAGGCGAAGCTTTGCAAAAGATCATACGGAGTAATAAAAATAAAAGTATTTAAAATGCATATCTAGCA